AGTGAAGGTTATCATATACAAAATTATTAAAATACTTTACACCTACTGCACACATATCTAATTGATAAGATTTATATATTAAAAAAAACTTGTATAAATTCTGCAACATTACAAGTACTTGAAACTGAAAAAAACAAAAAAATATTTTCAATATTACTTTTATTTTGTTAGTAATTGAGTGTGTTGGGATAGATGAATCACCTGTAATATAAAAACTACATATTATCATTATTTAGTTATATTTTCAATTTCATAAAAAGTAAAACGTAGAATAAGAAAATTTAACTAAATAATGTTATTGTGTAGTTTTTATATTACAGGTGATTTATCAATCCTAACTTACTCGATTACTTTAAAATAAAACTAATATCGAAAATATTATTTTTGTTTGTTTAGTTTCAAGTACTTTTTGGCCAAATATGGGGCTTTTATATTAAATACCAATAAGTAAATAACTATTATGGTGAAGATTGAATATAATATAAAGGATTGTATATTCTCGCTAAAAATATCTAAAATCTAATTCTCGAATATTTTTTAAGTAAATTTTTTTTAAAATGTTTATAAAACATTATAAGCCAAAAATAAATAATTTTCATATGTTTTATTAATTTTAACAACATAATTTAATGCATATTTCAAAGATTTTTTATGATATACATAGAATTTTAGAAGCACATAAATCCGACTAATTATGATCAATAGCAAACATTATAGTAAATAAATTATTCTCAAATTATCATAAAAATAATTTCCTATATTTATTTTCTTAAATTGTCAATGTTGATACAATTTTACATTTTAGAAATTTCTAACTTACAACACTAGTAGTAACCCATTTGAATACTGACAACAGCAAGGGAAGCTTAACTTTAAAACTATACAGTATTTGAAGTGTCCATTGTGCCATATTACACCCCTAGTATATATCATGTAGAAAAATAGAAGCGTGGCATGATAGCATATTAGTATAAAAATAAAATTGTCTAGTCAGTTTTATTCTTAAAGAAATATTCCTTTAAAATGAATTTTGTCTTTGTTGTAGACTTTGTTATTCTCTGGATATAATTTAAGTTGTATAGAAGTGAATAGCTACAATGTTTGAATTAAGATAATGTTAATGATTTGTATAATCTTTAGTTGGTTATTATTTTATTCCACTATTATGTTTTTAAAATTATGAATACTATTTTTGCTGTAACTGTTTATGAGCAAATATTAATTACAGTAATTCCTATTTAGGAGTACAATTCCTTTAATAAAAAAATGTTGTGAAGGGTTCTTAATAGAAGTTTAATGAAAAATTAATTATCTTTTTTATTATTTTTTACTTAAAGTGAATATTATAGCAAGTAGTTTTACTAAGAAGATTTTTTGACCTTAGCTCCCCCTGAAAGATATAGAAGACTCGTTAAAGTATATAAATTATTTTACTAAAATTTTTACTGCTTCAAAATTTGTTAAATAAAATTTTCTTTTTATAAGCTACTTATGTATACTCTGTAGCCGTTAAATAAAAACAGTTTGCAACCCTGAAAATTATAAGGGATAATACTTTTTAATAACGACAAAAAGTGAAATAATATTTTTTCCAATACATACGATTATTACATATCGTATTATTAAATATCAAAAATATTATTTATAATTTATTTAAACAGTTATTTATTTAAACTATATGTGTAAAATGCAGAATTATCATCAACAACGTGTTTATTAATCATTATTTAATTTGGATTCTGACAGAAAACAATGACGAATGTACAAAAATAATAATTTTAATAAAGAAATATTAAAAAGAAATACAGCTAGACAAACAGTGACGGAATATCTTTGAATAAAATATTAGTTTTCTCAAGAATAAACATAAAATAAGTATGCTCACACGTTCTTCCATCTTTTAATTCCTTCATATATAATTTAAATTATTTTACGAATAATAATAACCACTTGTTTCTCTGTAAAAACAAAAGTTATTTATTATATATTATTTACATTATTTACACTACTTACAAGATTACCTGTAAAACAAAAGAAACAACAATTTATGTTTACTATTATCACTCTTTGCTTATTAACAATCTTAAAATTAAATCTTAATTTATTATTATTATCAAATTTTCAAAATTTTATCATCTTATCGTCTTATTAAGTCATCTTGATATAGGTATAAGGGATAAACATAAAAAAATATTTTATGATTGATAAATTGAGAAACATATGTAACTAAAAGAAACAATAAAATAATTTTAAAGTGTGCTTCAAATATTAATAATTAACTTAAAAATGTATTTATATGAGGTTTAGAGGTGTAGTCTCCTTTATGTAAACTCATACATAAACTCAACTTGAGGGCTATGCCTTCCAAGTTTTCTATTTTCTCCCTCAGAAATTGAGCGATGTTGTATGCATTATTATTTAAAAAATATTTTTTGAATGGAGGAAAATTAAATTTAGCCCTACCAAAAATATTGACCACGTTTCATCTATAACAGTGAACAACACTTTCAATATATTTATTTGATGATTAGAAGGAAATAAATGAAAATTTCATTTTAGTAAAAATTAATTTAGGGCAGATATTGTCATAATATACCTAGTGCTTTGTATTACGCGTCTTACATTTATCAATGAAAAACTTATAATCTGTATTTTATATTAGTTGTAAACAAACAAATAACTTATCTGCCATAACATGTACACTGTTCAACACTATTTCTTATTATTTACATATATGTCAATTTATCCATTGTTAAATATTCTATCTCAATATAATAATCATTTAATGTATAATTAAACACAATAAAATAAAAAGATCACAAAAAGCCCTGACAACAATATCCCTGGATTGGGGGTAATATTACACTCTATAAAAAGCAGTGAAATCCTTTCAGACTCCAGTTCACTTTTTTCTAAAACAATTACCAGACACGACCCCGTTTTGTTGTCGTCTGTCTTTTTGTGCGTTTTGTTTATATTCGAAAAGAATCTACATTGATTTATCACTTTAATTTCCTAGCAAGAAAAGAATTCAAGTAAAGATTTTAATGAACCATTTGTGAAAAACATAATTATAGGGTGCGAATTTGATACCCTATTTATATATACATAAAGATTTGTCAGATTATCTCTGAATTGCATTTTATAGCTACAAAATTTAAAGTAAGTAAATTTGGTAGAACGAGGACGTGATTGGAGAGGTGGAAAGTATTAAGTATTTAGGATCAGTTGTGCAAAAGAGTGGTGGTGTTGACGAGGATGTAAGACACAGGATTAAGGTTGAAGTGGAGTGAAACATCTGGTGTCTTATGCGACAAAAGAATTCCAATGAGGCTGAAAGATAAATTCTACACGACTGTAGTGAGACCAGCTATGTTGTATGGTTTAGAGTGTTGGGCGGTTGATAAAAAAGTAGAGCAGAAAATAAGTGTAGCAGAGATGAGAATACTTAGATGGATTAGTGGGTGACTAGAGAAGATAAAATAAGAAACGAGCATATAAGAGGAAATATAGGTGCAGCGTCAATCGTGAATAAGATGAGAGAAAATAGACTTAGATGGTTTTGTCATATTACGAGGAGAGAAGAATCGGAAGCCGTAAGTAAAGTTGTACAAATGAATGTTGGAGAAAGAAGAGATAGAGGAAGACCGAAAAAGAGTTAAAGAGATATTATTGAATGCGATATGAAAACAGCTGATGTGAGCGTAGAGGATGTGGGAGATCGTTTCAAGTGGAAGTTTAGGATAAGGGTGGCCGACCCCCAAGTAGTTGGGATTGAGACGAGAAAAAAGAAGATAATCATTAATATTATTAATATTATACACTGAGCCTTGTGGTAACCCGTTGTTTATTAGTCTCGTCTTACTTTTTTCCTCTCCTATATACATTATAATTTTCTTATTACTAAGCATCGTGTATAATGTTTTACATAGGAATACATTAAATTAAATATCAAATACTAACAAATTTTGATAGTAATAAATAAAAGGAGTTATTTGCTTATATTATATCCATTTTCAATATGGGCTGTGAGAGCCATTACTTGGTCACAGTAATTTCAGTGTGAACGAAAACCTGCCTGTTCATGAGGAATAATCTTGTTAATATCTTCTGAGAAGAGATTATATATTAATCACTATACAAGTTTATAACATATGCTTAATAGTGAGATAGGTCTATAACTCTTTACATCATAGTCTAGCTTATCTGGTTTTAGAATTGCCAACACTTCTGTTTGTTTAAAATATTTTGGTAATAGTCCTGTGTGTAGAATGTCTATAAAGAACTCCGAGAGCCATTTAATTGTCTTTGGACCACAGTATTTGAGAAACTCCGGGTATATGTCATCTAATCCTACAGCTTTTCAAAGTCTCACGCTTTATAATGCAGTTTGCACCTCTTTAATTCTGAACTTCTTTGCCCACTTGGAACTTTCTTCTGCATTCGATTTTTTTGTCTTTAAGCTCATAGTTACTTCTCTAGCTGATTTTTTATCCAGTGGGGCTCTGCTTGTTTCCACTATTTGGTTTGCAAAAGTGTTAAGTTTAATTTTTGTTGTCCCTTTAGTTCTTGTTGTATTTGGGTCTAATTTTCAAAGGAAGTTCCACGCTTTTCTGCTAGATCATTTAAAGTCTAATTTTTCCATAGTTTTAGACCTGTTAACAACATTATCGTTGTTAACTATTAGTGCACTCGGACTGGTCTAATCGTTATCACGCGTCTACTCCCTGCTACGCACGTTGTAGTGTACATCGCTACTACCGGCCAATCAGCTGTTACACACGTACACACCACACACGCACAAAAACACATTTTTTATAGTATAGTAAAGTAGAGTATATTACAACATTATTATTGCGCAATAATCCAAGTTGTTGTTGAAAATATATATAAATATGTATATAAAATTTGATATAAACGTTTTTTAATGTTGTAAAAAATCATTACGGCAAATTTAAAGTTTAAGAAACTCAAAAAGTTTTTTTTTGTTCATATTTGTCTTTCGCACTAATTGCGGGGATCAATTTTTTAAGCTACTAATTAGCTACTAAAGATATTTTTATTGTGACTTTAAGCTACTAATTAGCTACCAAATTATTTTTTTTGATTCATTTCTACCAATTAGCTACCGTATTCTAGTCAATTGTGATATTCAAATTTGTGTTACCAAAATTGTAGTTCCTTAAGTATATTTATTATTGTTGTGGTTCGTGTTTTAGTTTTAGGTAGCATCTCTGGCCAGAAGCTCTGCGAATTGTGAGTACTATTGTTGATTTTTGTGTTCCATTTTGTAAGTTAGTGTAGTTATTATTGATTTGTGATTTATTGAACAGATTAGCTATTATTATAAGTGTTATTAATTTATTATTCATTTCATCGTAGGCGTAAGGCCAGCGCACAACGGTCACAAAGACCTTGTGGATGTAAGATAGTCATTATCGTTCGGGTATTTGTTATTTTATATTGTGGATAAATTATTAAATTATTAAACGAATTTATTTTGTGTTATCTGTTCAATGTCATATTTTGTAATATTTACTAGCTAGTCAATTTTGTCCATTGGAACCAATTTTAGTTACTTCATCTTAATATTGAAATTTTAAACTAGTATTAAATTTTTCTGTTAATAATTAATTGACATAATTTTATAACATTGTTCCTTTTTATTGGAATTATGTTTATTTATAACTAATTTATTGCTGTCATTGATTGTTAAAGAGTTTTTTGTTATTTATTTTCATTATTATTTGTTGAGTAAGAAGGGCTAAATTTATCTAGTAAATTTATTTATCGAAAATATTAATATTAATTATTGTAAAAAAGGTTTGAAATATTTACTTATTTATTTATTTAGTTTAATAGTACAAACTTACAGGCACGTAGACAAGGATGGGCCTGGCTCCCTTAGATTTAATGTGGCCCAGGGCCGGGCCCCCCAAATTTAAAATTCAATTATTTTTACGAATTATCATAAACGTGCTAGGCCTTACATACAATTATTATTAATTTGTAATTACTGTTGAGTAATAAAGTTATTATTATGGCTGTATTTTCATTTTTATATTCATAGAAAACGTTATTTGAAAAAGATAACGTTCTCGACGTAATAATAAACGGAATAGCAATTACTCCAAACGTGGTTGTAGGTAAATTTTTTTAACTCTGGTCCAACAAATGATAACAAACTACGAAGTATTTGCATTGATTAGAATCTAGTTGATTACAAAATTCGATAGAGTATACTCTATGAAAATTTTTTTAGTAAATCTTATCTTTAATTTGTTTCTTTTAGCTTCGATGCGAAGCTGAGAAGGTATTGGTTTTACTAAGATGTGTTTTGTTTTGTGTCTGTTACCTCTTTTTCTCAGCTCTCACTGAACTAATTTCTTTCAATGATACGTCAAAAGATCACAAATTGTATCTATTCGAAGACATAACCCTCAAAAATTGAAAAAAATTCCCTCATTCCCCGTAAATGGGGGAAACCTCCAAAAAAATTACAAATTTAAAAATCACTAATTTTCGAAATTTTTTCAATTTTTTTTACTAAAAACTGCCGTAACTTTTTCATAAATAAACGTATGAATATAATTTTTTTTATATAGATGTTTGATGTCTTTACCTATCATTTGCTATATTTTTTTTGTAAATCTGACACTTAACCTGCCCACAGGGGGGGATTTAAAATGACAACTTTTTCCCAACTAATTTACTTTTTCAACATAACTTTTGAAAATGTTCCGGATGGTCTGACACTTTTATATATATCTTAAATTAAAGCTAATGTAATATACTTTAATTTAAAAAAAAAAAAATTTGACTTCTGTACATGTCTTCACTGTAAAAATGGCTACCGAATGCTTTTTTCGTGTGAAAATTCTCGATTTTATTATTTATATTTTAAACTTTATAATGCTATAACTTATTGAAAAGTGTATGGATCAACACAATTTTTTTATGAGAAATAATATTTTTTAATAATTCCTTTTTTATTCGACATAATTTATCTTAATCAAGATGTTAATAAGGAAATGGCAGATCATATTGGAATAATACACCAATTTTTTAAAATTAAACACTATCTAAAGATTTGCATCGAAGCGTTTATTTTTGATAGTGATTTTAATCACTGTCAGATATCATTATACTTGATCCAACTATGCCACGTCAATACTGTACCGCAACCCCCCTGTGCTGGGTTTTTTTCATTTGGATCACTCTATATAATCAATTTTTTTTAAATGTTCTGATTTGACTTATTTCTGCATTAGTAGCATGCTCTAACGATGTAGATTTTAAAAACATATCGATTGTAGCGATATTTTTTTATAATTTAGTAGTAAAAATAGGTAATTTATTTGTTATTTGCGTGCTCTAAATAAAAGTAAAAAAAATATGACTAAAAAAGTCAGGAATTGTGTTTAATTTTAAATAAAATAAATTTTACATTGTTTATAATTTATATTTATTTAAACATTTTTTATAACTTATTTTTTATTAGTATTTAGGAATAAATCAGCTTATTTTCGTAACTCAAAAATATAATAAAAAATTTAGAAGGTAATATATAAGTAAAAAAAGTTAGGATAATATTGTTGTTGGAATTAAAAAAATGTGAGTGTGAGAGTTACTTTTGATTGGGGGTGTAATTCGAGGATCATAAAATAACAATGTAAATTTTCTTATGGGTTTAAAAAATCATACCTGGTAAATTCTCTGGTTCTTATAATATCCACAGTGATGATATTGATAAGATGATAAATAAAATAACACAATTTCAAATTTTAGTTCACAAATTAACACACAAAAATTTCGACAATGACGATTACAACGTTCGCACAACTTAATACGGAGAACGATAATAACGACGTAATGCAGACCACGAAAAGAACAGCTCAATACGGAGCACGAAATGAAAGCCAGGAGCAAGGGTTTGGTCTGGCTTTTTATAATATTTTTTTACCCCCAAAAATCGTCACTGTGGAATTTTTTAAAAAATTGTTTATTGATAAATAAGCATGAAACACAGAGATCAGTATAAATTAATAGAACATAAATTATTTTGACATTTACATATATAACATTAACATGTTTTTTTACAAGTAAGACGAAGATTAATACAATACATTTAACTATTAATAGTAGAATAACAAAGANACATTTAACTATTAATAGTAGAATAACAAAGATGAAAAAAAAGTAATATATAGCTTTTCTTTAGGTAAGGAAGGATTTTAAAAGTAATTATTAATTGATTTATGACCGAACCGCATACACTACAATGTAGCCAAACGGTGCGAG